TCCCTCGTGCTGCTCCTGTGTGCTTACATCCCCCCACCCCTCAACGTATAGCCTCTGGCAACTGCTGATGTGTTTTCTGTCACTATTGTTTTGTCTTTTCAAGAACTCCCTTCCCTTTTGTTAATTCCCTGAATCACCTTTGCTTAATTTTTTAAAATGGGCGCCTCTGAATATTTATGCATCGTGCACAAGAAACTCTAACTCCGGCTGACGTTCTCCTCTATTGACTGTTTTGTTGTTAACTGCTGCTAACATTTGTAAGCACTTATTACGCACCAGACACATGCACTAAGCTCTTCATACGCATTACCTCGCAGAACCCCACAGTAGCCTCATGGACTATCTCCATGTCACAAATATGGAAACCAAAGGCCAGAGAAGTTAAGGGGTTGTCCAAACCCTCACAGATAACAAAGGATTGAAACCCAGCCCAAATACAGCTCCTTTTGACTCTAAATCCTTACACATTTACAATTCCCAATACAAGGGAGGAGGAGATTATGACTAGAAAAGTGGTGCATTGAGAGAGGTTGGCAGTGGTGCCAATTTGGGGCCATATGGTTTTTAAAAACATTTGCAAATGTGTGTGACGCTGGAGAATCACCTAGGTCTCCTGACTTCTCAACCTCCGCCTTTACCTTTCTGTCTTCCCCCACCTGTCACATATGGTCCGTGCTGTCCCAGGTGGCATCTGCCTGCTGTTTTCAGGGGCGAGGATGATTTGAATTCCCCTGCAAATTTAGCAAAAACCACCACCTATATCACAGCTCTCTCTGAGAATGCAACATCAGAGCCCAGGAAGGGGCTGGACCACCTGCTGGTTTCTACTTCGCCTCAATTCCCTAAAGTGCTTTCTGACCTCATTTTCTCTCCTCGGTTGCTTGCAACACCTGCCGAAAAAGTTTCTAGGACACAGCCACCTGGTCTGCGTGCTGGCGGTGGCAGGTGTGTTCTTGCTGATACGTGGTAAGACAAAGGTGTATGTGATTAGCATGACACTTAACAATGTAGGAAGAAAGCCTAGCCCCACAAGACTCAGGCTGGCGACACTGTGGAGGGGAATAGAATGTGAGGCAGGAGAAAAGGAAAGATGGAAAAGTTAGTGAAGATCAATGATGCCGGGAAAGTGAACCAGATTTTTGCTTTGTGTGTGGTTTTTCTTCGAACTGTCTGTTTGGGCAAGTGAATCGAGAGTCTTGTTCTAGAGTTAACTCCTTGCTCCTTAAGGATCCCAGAAGGCAGATACAAAGCAAGCACATCCTGGGAAGAGTCACATACCTGAAATACGGTGCTAGGTGATTTGGAGGGAAACAAAGCAAGCAAGAAGCCAGGGTACCAAGGGTCATCTCAGGGTGGCATGTGATTTGCAAGGGGGTGAAAGAGGGCATTTAACTTAGAAAGTGTTGAGTCACTTCAGTAACAATCACAGCTTACATTTATTGAGTGCTTAATATGAACCAGTGTAGAACTAATTGACATGAATCATCTCATTTATTCCTCACAGCAACCGTCTGAGGGAGGCAGTACTATTATCTTCAATTTACAGATGGAGAATCGGATGCCCTGAAATTTTAGCGACTCATGCAAAGTACTCAACTATTGAGGGGCAGAATCAGGTTTTGAATTTTGATATTTCTCAGAACTAAGCCTATAGAGTCTTTTTTTTTTTTTTTTGTCTTTTCTTCCGGTACCAGGAATCGAACTCATGACCTTGTGCTTGCCAGGCAAGAGCTTTGCCGCTGAGCTAAAATCCCAGCCCCGCCTATAGAGTCTTAGCTTCTCTGCTTTACTGCCTGTCCTAATTCAGAAATATTACTAAAGTGTAGCAGAATGAAGAGGAAAAGAGATCAATGATTCAGGAACTCAGGATCCTCCGGAAGGCTTGCAAAGTTCCTTTGGAACTTTGCACCATGGGAAGGAATAAGAGCCAGTGGGGTTTGTAGTATGAGAGGTCCTCTAGTCTGTTGATCTTGCTTGTTGGCTTGAAGTAATTGCATGCTGTAAAAACCTGCAACCATTTCTCAAGTTTTCTTTTTACACAATCAGCTTGGGAGGGATTTAGACGTGTAGGTACAATGGGCTAATTTTCCTCTGTCTGGGGTTGGCACCATGAGGTGTGACTGTTGGTCCCACCTTAGCATACTGATTGGCACAGGATGCATCAGACCTCTTTGAGCCAATGAAAAGATCTTGATGAGCTTGTTTTTCAGATGAGACTAGGTGAAGAGAACAGAATTTGGTTTCAAAAAGCTCACAGACAGGAAGTTAAATGAACTCTTTCAGAGTGCCAGGTTATCAGTGAGTCCCCTGAAACAGGTGTTTTATAAAGTGGTACCCTGCAACAACAGGTTATTTATACTCTTTTAGGGGAGCACTTTATACTTAGTATTATTCTGGCCCGAACTCATCACAGACTCAAGTTTAATAATAATACCTATCACACACTCCTGCAAGGGCCACAACTCCTTCTGTGTTTTGTAGAATGCCTCACATATGGCAGGGCACAATAAACAGCCAAAATAATGTTTACTATGATAGTGATCTTCCAAATGCCTTTCATCTGAGGCTCTCAAAGTGTCTTGCAAACACTAATTAGTTAAGCCTCACAGTGCCTCTCTGTTTTACAATACATTTTCCCATTTTACAGAATTTTAAATTGAGACCTAGCAACCTTAAGTGGCTTGCCCAAAGTCATAGAGTAACTTTAAATTGATGATAATGATGATGCTTTGTGTTTACTTGGCAGGTGTTTTCTAAGGTGATATGGTATGTTGTAAAGACAGTTTCCACACTGTCCTGGAGCCAGGTGAGTGGCAAGTATTCCTAGCTATTAGCTACATTGGATAAACTGAAGTAGAAAGGGCAAGTAATTTGGGAAGATTTGACTGACGTTACAGAGTCCACTGCTTTGACTTTCGGAGCAGGGTGTGGCATCCAGGGCATTCTCAGTTCTTGTACTTTAGGGACTACATGGCTGCTTTCACACTTACAGGAAAGACATTTGCATTTTTAGCAGTAGAAGCACATTGCAGAACGATGCCATGCTTCCATCTAAGGATGGATTTGCTCATCTTCCCATTGAGAGAAGCAGAGGGAAGAGGTGAACCTTTTAAGAAAGGATCGTTCAAGGCACTGGAGGTGGTGGGGTGAGGAGGCCAGTCCACTCTTCTCTCGTATGTCTTTACTAATCCAGGCCCTCCCTGAAAGCAGGGCCCCTTAAGAGCTTGGTTCCATGTTTCAGCCTTGGTTCAGAAGCGTGGTGGATGGGAGTAGATGCATCCCCAGCACCTTAGTCTGATGTTACAAGTCCCTGTAGAAGAGCTGTAAGGACACCCAGTATTTTATGGCTTTTTCTTATATACGGCCCCCTCTTATCTCAACCTTCTCTCCCAGGAGGGCCCTTTAACTCCACTGCGGCTCCAAAACTTGCTACCTTTTCTTAATCAAACAGCCACAGCAAAATCCCAAGAAAAGAATGCAAGGCTGATAAAAGGCTCACCTCCCTGGGTGAGTAATGATACTCTTGAAAGGCAAGTCAGATTTTGCAGGGAGGGGTTGTGAAGTCTTAGGAATTCAAGGGGGATTTACTGACCCGGAGTTAGAGCCCTTCTGTCTATACCCAAGGCACATTCGAGAAAAGCTTGCTCCCCACCCCCACTCTGCCTCGGCAAGCCTGTGGATTTCTGATTGATGACTAGGCCAGAGCTCATGGAGAGATGTAAGGAGAAGGGCCAAGCCCTTTTTTGGAATGTGTTCACATGCACAAGCACAACAGCAATAAAAAAATCTGCAGTGAAGAAATCACACCAGTGTCTCATTTCTTCCCGCTCTCATTTTTGAATGTTTACACACTTCCCTACCACATGGGTGCCTTCAAGGTTCAGCGAATCCATGCAGAGCTGAACTCTCAGAGGGAAAACTTCAGAAACTTGTGTTGAATGCATTTCACAAGCCTCTTCCAGTCTGAGGAAGGGGTCTTGTCTGTGCAAACTCACCCACTGCTCCTCTTCTGAGCAGAGCTGTGGGGACCCCGATGCCAGTATCAAAGCTTGCTATAGGCAAGACTTGAAAGAATGCAATTTTGACTTTGTAGGTATGCCAACAACCCAAGTCATGGTTTTCTGTGTCCACTTTGGTACACTGACTCCAGAGCTGACGGTGCACATAATCCTACTGGACCCACATCTTTCTCTTGGAATGTGCTCCTGAGATGCATCCCACATAAACCGCACCACGAAGTCAGACCAAGTCCTCAGGATGTGCTTGCAAGGCCAGGTAGATTCACACTACCCAAACACAAAAGGCATGACTAGTAATCGTCCATGTGGCTTGACCAGGTCTGTTTGTGTTCTAATTGCAGCATCTGATGTGTATTTTGTTTATCTTATAAAGTGAGGTGCATGTTCAGGGCTCCTATACAAATAGGTTATATTTCATAGACCAGCCTTGGCTATCAATCAGTCCACCCACACAGACGCTTCCCTTCCGCCTGATCTCGGGAGTCAAGTATCTTGATAGCCTTGAACAGATTACGAATGAATGTTGCCATAATAATGCTTTATGACTAGGGGTAAAAAGACAGATTTGGGTAAAATTCAATCAATCCTTGACATTTGGAAACTTCTCAGAGATCTGAAAAGCAACCAGTCGTTGGATTTGTTTTCTTTCTTTATCTCACACCCCAGGCATTTCCTGCGTACTGGTTTGGCTTCAGAGCAACAGGAGTCAAAGACCAAAACCCTAATCTAAAAACCTTTTCCTGTTCTACTACCACTGTACAAGAACTAATTAGAACCTAGGAAGCTTTAGAAGTTTTAAGAAAAACTCAGTAGGCAGGTTCAGGGTTCTGCCGCGTTTCACTAATGTGATTGCTGCTCTCAGAGACTGAGCTCTGGGGAATCCCTGGTGGTGGTCTAAAGGTAGCTCAGAGAAGACTGCCCCTAGCTCCCGATGCACACACGCCAAGTAGACCCGATATTAACAAGGAAGCTCTTTCTTACCCCATCCATGTGGATTCTGATGTTGGGCACCAGCCGGAAAGAGCTGGTCTGTAGACTTCTGGGGCTGGTCCTGCTCTTCCTGCTATCCTGAGAGGTCAGCACTCCAGGCCTGCGGAGGGAGCCCCCTCTCCAGGAGCTCTGTCCTGAGCGCACGCCATCCAGGAGACGCACCAGCAGCAGGTTGGCCGGCAGTGCCTCGATACTGCAAAACACCAGCGTTCTGCATTCGGGGCACCTCAGCTCCTTGTGGGCCTTGAAAATCCTCTGAAGACATGGCTTGCAGAAGGTGTGCTGGCAAGGGAGGACTTTGGCTGTGACATCAAGCTTTTCGAAGCACACAGGGCACTCCAGAAGATCAAGTAACGTCAGATCATCCATTTTATTTTAAAGCTCTAGTCCCGTCCTGAAGGAGTGGGTTCCACATCGTAGGGGCAGCTGAGCTGAGGGCCAGAGCCAGTCTCTGGAGAGAGTCAGAAATCCTGCCTGTTTGAAGGAGGAAAGAAGCAAAGAAAAAAATGTGACTGCTCTGAGAGGTGTATCCCACCTACACTGAGGCAGTGTCTCATGAGGCAGTTTGCAAGTACTTTGCTTCCGGAACTCAAGTTCCAAATGACTCATTCTGATTCAGTGCTAGCAGGTATAAGACTCAACTCGGGCCTACTGCGAGGATCAGAGGGAACATTCAGCACAGTGACTGATAACTCCTTGCCTCTGCCCGGACGGCAGAGCAGGGTGACAAAACTGGCCCGTGGAAGTGACTGCACTCTTGTCTACCAGCTGGGAGCTGGAAGGAGTCCTTCTCCCCCCACCTGGGGAGAGCGCTCAGATCGTCCCTCTCAATCCTCAAATCTAAGCTCGCTCAGAACATCATTTCTGTGACACTCTCTAGCTTTCCTCCTGCCCTCCCTGGATTTAAGTTTGTCTACTATCTGTATCCCACGCAGACAAGTTCAAATAAGTTGATCTGAACTGCATGTGGATGTAGAATTATGCCCTTTGCAATGTGTCTTCCTCTACTACTTTGTTATAGCAATATATTAGAAAAACTCCTACTAGAAACCCCTTTTCAAATATTGTTTTGCCTTAATTATAGGCTGGGGCACTTGAAGCTTTGAATCTCAATCCTCCCCCCCCCCCCCCCCCCCCCGTTTATCTTAGCCTCAGAGACAATCTTCCTCCCACAAGGCAGAGTCGTGCAGCCTGTTTTGTTGCTTTGACAGTTGCCCCCAGTTTCACCTGAAGCGGATAGGAACTTCGTACTACGGGTCCCAATCTAAAAACCGAGCAGAAGCAGCACGTAAGGTGGGGAGTGTGTGCGGTCGGAAATCAATCCTTGTTTCTGAAAGTTTCCTTCTGAGTGTCTGCAGCCCAGCCTCCACTTAGAAAAGTCTCCTGGGAAGAAGTCAGTTGGCCCCTCAGGGAGCGGGTGAGAGCTTGGGTGACCCGAGGAAGCCAAGCGGGAGGCTGGGCAGGAGCGCCAGGAGCGCTCAGCAAGCAGGGCAGACGCGACACGCGAGGACCCGAGGACGCGAGTCCTCTCCGAACCTGTCAGCGCCAGCTGCTGCGGAGGCGCGGGGCTACTAACCTTGTGCCCGTGACCCCTGCGAGCTCAGCTCAGCTCTGCTGGGTCGTCGGCTCTTCGGTGCGCTCCTCCAGCTGGCTTCCTTTCCCTGACGGCTGCCTCCTCCGCGGCCCTCCAAACTTTAACAACGCCGCCGCCGAGTTCCACTCTTTTCAAGGGATCCTCTTACCCAGCCCCGTTAACACCTTCACCGCCGGCCGCCTCCTGCCAGCCGGCTCTTCCTTGCTCTCGCCCTGTCCTGCTGATCCTTCCTGCGCCACACGGAGTCCGGCGCGGTGAAAAGGCTGTCAGAGGCAAAGTATGCCGTCAGCCCCTACGGCTAAGAATTTACAAAGTTTGTATTTCCCTTTTCCCCATTTTTCCTACCTAACAAGTTGAAGCATCCCCGGTTATGAACATGCCAAAGTGATTGTGTTTATTTTACTTTTTTTATTTTAAAGAGAGTAGTACATGAGACACAAACAAAAAAATAGAACAGTAGCAGCATACCAGTATCATGAACATAAACAAAACAAAGCAAGAACAAGTGATACAGGGTCTCAAGACAAATTAATATGAATCAACAGTGGTTGTTACATTGCATATCGCCATCCTCAACTACATTGCCCAGATTATCAGATGTAAGAGTAAGAGATTGCTCAAACCACTAAAGAGATTGTGTTTATTTTAAACGTGTTTAAGGATAAGCCAACCACTTAGGGAATGCTGCATCTTAAAACCATAGTCAGTTCCTAAATTTAGACTTGAGAACCCTGCTGACCTTTTGACTTAGTCTCGTTGAAAAAAAGTACTGCATACATACACAGACTTGAAAAATCAAAGCAAGGAAGAGTTTTTCTTTTTTTTTTTTTTTTTTTAAAAGGAAAAGCAACAGCCCCTGCATTCCTCTTGCCTGATACCCACTTTAGTTATTTCATATCCCCAAATGAAGCCTCATACATCCATTTTTTATTGACTGAGAATGTAGCTAATGTAAGATTACAGAGGTATCCAGTTGAGGAAGTAAATAATAATAACACCAGGTAACCCCTATGTGTGTCAAGCATTGTTCTAAATATCGCACTTGTGTTAACCTGCTTAGCCTTTTACCCACTCAAGGAGACACTCCTTACCTTTATTGTGCAGATAAAAACGTAAAGACACACAGGTAAATAGCTCATGCCGGGAGACACAGCTCACAGAAAGCAGAAGGTCTGTGCTCTTAACTGCTGTGTCATTAGAGTGACAGAACTTTAGGATGAGAAGAGACAGTTCAGGGGAGCTAAACCTCATTTTTTTTGAGACAGGGTCTATGTAGTTCAGGTTGGCCTTGAACTCACTATACAGCCCAGGCCGGCCTGGAACTAGCGGGGGATCCTCCTGCCTCAGCCCCCTGAGTGTTGGGCTTACAGGCACACACCACCAGGTCCAGCCTAAACCTCACCTAGGATGGCAAGAAGAGAAAAGATAATGACCCAGACGGACAAATCAACTTCTTTTTGCAGATGAGGCTTCTGTGCTCAGAGAGAGCAAGAGATTCTTTGAAGTTGCCCAGTGAGTTAGGGACAGAAGTGAAACTATAACCTGAATGTTCTTTTTTAAAGAAATGTTATTTTCCATCTCACCCTAAGGATAGTATGTGGACAGCACTTAGAGTTCCGTGAGAAAATCTTAAGAGGGAATCTGAAAAGACTGATGCTTTTTAAAGTTCTTCCATGTCGGTGTTGAAAAATTAAACACACGTGAAGTTCAAAACAAGGAAAACTTTCAGAAGGAGGTGATGACGTTATCTGTCTTCTGAGCTCTGAGTCCTAATTTTTGTGCACAGTAATTTCAGAAGCCACTCTTTAACTCTTTTAATCTCCCCTTTGAGCTTCAACATCACCTCTCATTCTGCTTTCTTGTCTCCTTCAGTTAATTTCCACCATGGTTCTGAGTCTGTAAGGAGGTCCCTTGTGGCTTGAGGTTCTCTGCCTGTGCTAACCTGCTTACCCTTTTACCCACCCCAGGATACACTCTTTAACTTCACTGTACAGATGAAAAAACAAAGGCACATAGGTAAACAGCTCATCCCAGGAGACACAGCTAGCAGAAAGCGGAGGTCTGTGCTCTTAACTCTATTTTTCTCTCAGTAAACCTGGGTCTCTTCCGTGAGATGCCCTGCAGTTTCCCTACCATCTAGAAAGGGCCACTCCATGGCAGACCTTCTGCTGCAGGGGCCGGCAGCAAGCTTCCTTCTTCCTTTGCTTTCCCCTCCACACTCATTTTTAAATTGTTTATACAGATTAATGGGTTTCATTTGGCAGAACTGTACATCCACATAACCTACTTTGCCTTGCCCTGCCTGTCTGCTGGGGGGGAAGTTTTGATGCATATAATATATTTTGCTCCTATTCACCCCCTGCCTGTCCTTGCTTGTTTTCAAATATACACTGTCTCCCTGATATACCCACATACGCACCTACATGCTTGCATAAGGGCGTACACTAATCGCAGTGACAGTAACACGCATTTATGAAGCACTTGCTGCATGCCCGAGACAGATGAACAAATTGTCAGGGATCCAGAGTTTACAATATCAAGCCAGACTTGTCTAATTCTAGGACCTGTGTTCCTTACCATTTGGTCCATGTTGTAAAGTCATGTATATGCCGTAAGTACGTCTATATAAACATCACTGTGAAAATTCACATACTTTTATATACAAATCCATCACATACAACTGGCTACTGACCCAAAACAAAATCCTGAAGTCAAAAAAAAAAAAAAAAAAAAAAAAATGGAGGCTGGGCTCCTCTGCCTTTCACGTTGTATCATCTACCAGTTTTGTGGCTCCTTCACATCAATGCATGGGTAGTAGCTTCAAAAAGCTTCAATCTACTAGGCATGGTGGTGCACACCTGTAATACCATACTCAGGAGGCTGAGGCAGGAGCATTGCTGTGAGTTCAAGGCCAGCCTGGGCTGGCCTGCTTGACCCTGTCTCAACACAAAACAAAAGCACAAATACAAAAAGGCTTCACTCCTTCCCATCCCTGAGGAATCTCAGTCAAATCAGCTCAGTCCCAGCAGGCAGGGTAGATCCAGTGGATTACTCTTTCCTGGCATACAAGGCAATTGGGGATCACACACCAATGCAACTGTGATGGTAGGATTTAAAGTACTGGTGGAGGATGGGCCTTCTAACACCTCTCAAATCACACTTGTAGGTGCTCTAATGCTGCCTACATATGAGGTTGGTCTTGAGGGAACATTTTCTTTGGAAGCTTTGGAAAAAGAGAGAGAGTTTAAAATGAGGATTTCATCCCAGCTTACTTAAATGATATGTTGGCACCAAATGAGATGTACACCTAGTCCATAAAAACAGACAGAAAGCTGAGCTCTACTTGCCTTGCTCAACTCTAGACCCCTCTGCTGCACCCACCTCATCAACGTTCTTGTTTACATCTTGTTAGGCAGTGAGTACAGGCTGAGCTTTCAATATTTGTGTAATATTTATGAGTTTCTGCTGCTTGTGTTTACATATTAATTTATTTTAATTTATTTTTGTGGTACTGGGGATTGAACTCAAGGCCTTCACACTGAGCTACTTCACAGCCCTTTTTTCATTTTTTTTTTTTTTTTTTTTTGGTTTTTTGGTTTTTCTCCAGTACTGGGAACCGAACTCACGACCTTGCGCTTGCCAGGCAGGCGCTTTTGCCGCTGAGCTAAATCCCCAGCCCCTTTTTTCATTTTTTGAGACAAGGTCTTGCTCAGTTGCTCAGGCTGGGGTCAAACTTGGAATCCTCTTGCCTCAGCCTCCCAAAATACTGAGACTACAGGTATGTGCCACCATGCTTTGTTTACATTTCAATCTATGTTTAAAACAATCAGCAAATCCAATTATGTTGCTCCTCTGTTCGAAATACTTCAATAGGTTTCTGTTGACCTTAGGATAAAATCCAAATCCTTTTTCTGAACTTCTGGACCCTCTGTGATTCAGCTTCTCCACACCCATGTCTTCCCCTCACTCACTGCACTCCCGACCACTGGCTTTCTCTTTTCACTTTTAGGAAAGTTGAAGTTTTCCTGCTCCTGCTTCTCTTCCCCTTCCTCACTCTGCTGCTTTCACCTTCCCCTTGACAACTTTGAGCTTGAACGTCTCTTTCTCAGGGAAGTCTCTTCTTTAATTTTCACTAGTAGAAAGTTTCTCATCCTACCCTTCTCCCTCTTAACAGTTATCGTAATTGTGCTTCAGTACTTGTCATATAATGATTTATATAATGCCCAGCTCTCTCAACAAGCCTATAAGACAGCATGGCACCTGTATGTCTTTTTATTGTTCTTTCCTCATGTTTTACATAATGATGGTATGTAGTTGATGCTTAACAAATGCCTATAGAATGAGCTTATGAACGGAAGACTGAAAAAATTATGTTCTCAAAAATCTGTGTTTGAGCAGCTGTACATCAAACTACTGAGAATGGTTCCATATCAGACATGTCTGTGGTACCACTTTGAATGTTCTCAGTCCCACAACCTAATCTAAGACGTTTTACAGATTTGGGTGGATGCTACCTGGCAGTGTGTCTCCCCAAGCCCCTGCCGTATATCTCTTGCCTCTTGCTCCAGCTTCTCTGATATTGACACCTGGGTAAACTTTGGGGACTTGCTCCCCACTTGAAGTTGAAGTATCCAGAAATGTGGATTATGACCTGCTTGATGGGCAGTATATGGGTCCATGCTGGTCCATGCTGGTCATGAAACTTATTATTATTTTTGGAGACAGGGTTTTGCTATTTAGCCCAGGCTCTCCTTGAACTCAGGAAGATCATTCTGCCTCAGCCTCCAAATGCTTGGATTATAGGTATGGACCAGTTGGCTGGTCATGAAATTTTATAAGCTTTTTGGAATGTCCTGTAAGATGAGCATCATTAGGTGGTGGACCTGCTAACTCACACTTCTATCAGTTCTTCCTCTTTCTTTTGCTCTCCTCACCCTAACTCCTGTTCCCTAATAAATTAACTTCAAAGAGCTAACCTTTTCTTAGAGAGTGCCTTTTGAATTTAAAATTAACTCCCAAGTATGCAGGTAATTTTTGTCAATTAAATTTACTATTTATTGGAATTGAAGTGTGCTATTTTAGAGGCGTGGTATTTTTGTTTGATGTTAGCCCTATGGCACTCTCAGGAATCTCTGCCATACAGTTAATTATTTATAAGCCTATCCTAAATCCTTCAAGGGA